TAGGCTCTGTATGTCTTGATTAGGAGTCCACTTACTGTATCTGATTCCTATGATATCTGTGCCTGATGATATAATGTTGTCCATGGAGCGTAGAATATTGCGCATGTAGAATTTCTAGATTTATTTTCGATATAACCTCATACTGACATTGTGTTGACCACATTTCTTTCTGCCATGCTGCTCCTGGGATCATTTTGGTATTAGAAATCAGAATGTCACATAACCTTTTTGGGATTCGCTGGCTCGAAGTTTCCGAACTCCAGCTGTGCTGCAGTATAGGAGGCCTGTCTACGTTCCCGTCGTATCACTGTCAGTAGTGATATTTGTTCAATGTCTGCGAGATGTCTTAACCAACAGCCGACCCGAGTTCTCAGTCATGTCAACCAGTGCTACAGCACTCCAGACGTGTAGACTGTCTTACTTAGTACTAGGAGCGTTCATGTATGCCTCTGGTCCTCGATCAGTAATGTGTCTATTTCCAATCCCATGTACCCTTCTTTATTTGGTCGTGGTATCAGAGTTGTGCAGAATCCTGCTCTCTATTCCTTCATGTTCAACGCAATTAAAGTATTAAAAGCAGCTGTCATCAGTTGATACTTATTAACTGATTTAAAAAATAATCCAACAGGTATTGATGAATGCTGGACCTAAATTGAAGTAATTGAGTGCATATTGCACTTCCTGCAGATGATGCTGCTCGTGTACTATTCACAGTTACGCCCCTGAGGTGTGCATAAATGAGAGAATTATATCAGAATTCTTAACATTCTTTGGATCCAATACATTTTAACCTGTTACTGAGGATCGTGACAATCATATTTTAATGTTTTGTGGATGAACTTGCCCAGAAGCAGCCTAGCAGGGATCCTTGGTTCACTGATGCTGCTTTGATGCTGGGTGTGTGACGACATAGTATGCGTTATTCCAGCGTCGGCTTCTTTGAATTGTTCGCATTCTATTTATAGTCTAAATGCTGTCGCTTGCACTGACCTTTAATTTGATGTATGACTTGTGTAATCAGTGTTGGAGACAAAGTGCAAGCAGCATAAAGCACAAATTATGACAGTATTGGTGACAAACACATTACAGTACACTTTTCGAGACGGTCACAAGATCAAAGATAGTGTTGCAACATGAGCCTGGATGATACTGTCCGTCATCAGCAGACAACAGGCTTGATTTCTAAGGGCAAATGGCGTGCAATCTGAGTTCATTAACGAGTCAATCAATTGTGCTTAACTCACAATATAAACATTCTAGCGGTATTGTTTAACCAACTCGATTGCTGTACGTAACTGCGGAATCAGCTGCAGCCGCTTTCGTCTCTGCTGCTAGCACTGAATGCTGGTTCATCGTCAAATTCTCATTCAACTTACCATGATCCGTAAGCCTGACCAGCTACCTCTCTGCTGTAGCATACGTCTTAATCCAGGGTATAACGGAGAGTTTCTCCCGCGGCCGGATGCGAAGAACTGCTCCTTAGCCTCGGCCACATCCTCCTTGCTGGATATAGTGGAACCCAGGCATGGAGATGTTCTTTTTGTCACTCATTTTGGTCACGGATCAGCGGACGAGCTCGTGGATTCCCACAGTAAGCTGTGCTTCAGCTGTTTCAGGGACTGTGCTGCCGTGGCGACTCGCTGTCTCCTGACCGGCTACGGGGTTCGCTGCTCGCGGTCCTTCCTGGCTCTCGGGCTCGAAGGTTTGGCTTGTTCGTTGTTGAGCAGTTTGTGACTCCGTCCCTACAGTAGCGAGCTGCGCTGTCATCACATCCTTTTGCTGCGGAGCGGCTTCGATGCTGCGCCTCTGATGTGGAGCAGCGGAGAGAAGCTCCACCGCACATCCCCTGATTACATCACAGCACGTGCTCCAAAGCAACCCACCTGACGGCCATATGGCTATCTAAAGGAACGATCCGTTATGCATATTTCGAGTGATTCATTGTAAGGATGTTGAAAAGGGTTACGCCATTTTTGTGTGTGTTTTGGCTTTGCCTCATTGTGCGCTGTAGTGAAGATAAAGCTGATGTGCATATTCTGGTGTTTGGAGCAGTGGCGGTTCTACGGGGTGGCACGGTGTGCAGCTGCCCACCTCAGAAAAAGTGCCTTGCCACCCCCACTGCCACCCCTATTGGCAGCTTTGTTTTGGAAAGAAAATTTGTGGCTCATCGGACATTTATGAGAGAAAATCTCTAATGTCGAGTAGGAATGCAGCACAAGGACGCGGATGAGCCTTGTAACCCTCCCCCGCCCCCCTGGCGCGAGTCTTGGAAATCTGATTGGCGGCGATTTCATTTGAACGGCAGAGGACAGCGCAAAACGAGAAGCATTTCGGATTACAGTAGACAGAAGGAATTGAGGTATTCTCGGTCAGGGTATGGCTGGGGTAGGCTACAGCCAATACCAATAAATGGCTTAGCCCCACCATGACAATGATGTTAAAGTAAGCAAAATAAAGTCTGCAACTCGCGGAGTAAATTGCACAGACAGCAGTTAGTAAGGATTGATTTCAGTAGCCACTTGGTCTGGAAATACCGAAGACTAGAAACGGTTTTGAACACTTTTGTCACGTAGTGATCGTCTTCTCAATAGAACATCTTGAATATCTTTCTGGCCAATCAGAATCACGATAACGGCGTGGTGTTGTTGCAGAAGTCTCGACGGAGAATACTTTTGCTGTAGTACATCTCTATATACATCGGTACAACTAGTAAGAACCCCACGGTTTGATGATTGATAGGTGTGTGGGCTGTCTTTCATTTTGACACACAGAACAATGGGGGCTATCCACCCTTATCCACAATGTAAAGTAATTCACACAGCCTCTTCCCCTCTCCTCTCTGTGAGCAGCAGGGTTCAGCTTTCAGAACAAAGTAACAAAAAACTAAATGGCATTCATTTTTTTAAATACGTTGTGTAGTAATTATATTTATTTATTTTTCTTCTCAAGAGAGCACCAGAATGTGTATTTGATGTTAGTATTTCAAAAAATCTCCTGGGGGAGAATCCCCGCAGGGGTTGGGTTTTCAGCATGTCAACTCTTTCACCTGTGGGGAAATTGCAGGATTGGTTCCAGGTCGCCCTTTTTATTTACTACAAGACAAATGTGCCTTTTTATTTCATACAGTTCAATTTGTATTGAGACAGGGAAATAATCTAAACCTCACGCGTGGCGTTTCACTGTCAAGGGGAGCGTGTATGTAATTACATTGCAAATACTGACTTGAGCCCCACCACTGTATGGGTTAGCCCTACCATAGATTACCCAACACAAATACTCTGGCGCCCGCAACTGTTTGCGGTCTACTATGACAGAGAAGAGCCTGTCAAGTTTGGCTGTACTCAGCATTGAATCAAAACGCACCATAGCTTTAAATCTTATAAGTTTGTGGGCGTTTTGCTGATCAAGATGGTAATCGCCAATTCAGCTGTTATAGGCATGCCAACTTGATGCTCTGCTCACGGATGAGTCGATGAGAATAATAAACTGTTAAGATGATGACCTTACATGTGTAAATATATGTTTCTTCTTTGTGGGGGTCTGCCCCAAAAAACAGTTTCAAGTCCTGAGAAAGTCAAATAAGACGGTGTGTAAAACTTCACTGCAGCCAAAAAAAAGTAACCACTTTGATTTAACTAGGCCAGTAGGTACGGGCATTCCACTGGATAATAACTGCAGCGATGTATGTTTTAGCTGAATACACCGTTTTTTTTTAACCCTAACTGATGCAGTTAGTCATTTCTTTAATGTTTGTTCTTTCTGATGTAAAGTCAAGGTTGTAACTGTTTGCAATGAAGTTGTGGGGCGCTGAACTGTTCCTTTGATTCTTTTGAATTATGATAGTAATTACTGGTCTTTCAAATTTGAAGGAGGGTGAGCAAGCATCTTGAGGAACATTCATCATTAACTCCTCCAAAAAATATAGTTTATTTAATAATAACACTGAATATGTGAATCATAACAGTGATTGATAGCTGATAGGAATAATATGATTGTTAATATTATCATATTCATACAGACACACATCGATGAGACAGTTAATTAATGTACTTATTGCAGCAGTCTGCATATTTGGTACCCATGCTGGTCTAAGAGTTAAACCAACTCATTCAGTTAAAATTCATTAAATTATGTCTGCCACCTTATATATTTATATTTAAGGCTTTACTGATGTGCCACAATAATGTCACCAAATGTTATTGAGTTAAAATATCAATATTGTGGTTTTCCAAGTTAACATTGATTGATATGACTGCGATTAAATCAGCATATACTTCTGCCAGGGGATGCCACCCCTGAAATTCTCCTCCCACCCTCTTGCCACCCCATTAATATTTGTCTAGATCCGCCCCTGGTTTGGAGGGTGCAAATTGTATTAAGTCACTCACAATTGATAAAAAAAAGAAAATAAATCAGTAACAGAGCATGACAATTTAAAACGAATATAACCCGATTACGTTTGAATTACCTCAAAATCAAATGCAATGCAACAGAAATACAAAGAAAATATTTATTAAAGATGTCTTTTACTTAAGGGTTTTATCTAGGACAATACAATAATCCAACCTTGTAAAAAAAGATACCAAGGTATTTTGTATCAAAAATGTGTTCCCTGTGTCCTCATTTTAACACAATATGCTCTTTTTAACATTTGAAACAGTAGGCTTCCTTTCAAACCACAGTAACATACAGGCATGACCTAAGAGTTCCGGATTATATTATAGGATATATAATCATACAGATGCTGTCGCAGTTAAATAATTAAAATAAAATAAACTATTTTTTAACAAATCATGTGCTATAATGCTCATTTGCAGGTTCATATTAGTTTTTTGTGCCTCTACCACTGTGATATGTCTCCATGCTTTAATGTTCAAAAAGCTCTTTATTTTTCTACTGCCTGTGCTGCAGCACCTCTTTTCACCCTCCATCTGAAACCAGAGCCCAGTCTGCTCTGATTGGTTTGCTGGCTGGCTCTGTTGTGATTGGTCAACCGCTTAGAGATGTCCTGCTCCTTAGCTTATCACGTACAATGGGTTGGAGCTCTAGCCAATAGAAACACTAATGTTATTCCCTCTGGGAATAACATTAGTTATTCTTTTAAAAAATAAAGAAAATACGATTTGATAGTGGATTTTCCAATTTCAAAACTGTGTGTCATGAATAGTAACATCAACATCTGGAATAGAGTCTAGTCTCCGAAAAAAGGCAGAAGGATATGAAAAAAACGTTGTGCTTTTCCCCCCAAATATGAACAAAGCAGATGCTGTATTTCCCCTCTTCCTTTTAATAGTCACAGCAGGAAGTGTGGCTCACTTTGTCCTGATGGGAGGATCAGAGGATTTTCCTTTTGGTGTAAGAGGTGTGTCTCTGGAACTGTCAGTAAAGCTCCTCGTTAGAGGTTTAAATGTGTGCGTGTTTGTGTGTGATGTGACAAATCTAACCTTTGGTAATGAGCGTCTCCTCTAGCTCTGCCCTTTCAGATGAGTAGCTGGTCTTGCCTGCAATGCACTGTGTGTCTTAACAGCAAACAGAGTGCTATGGAGAATATAACTGAAGGTGAAAGATTGACACTTTAACATGCAGGATGTAAAGATGACAAAAAGGAACAAAAGAAAATTACATATCTTCCCCAATCACTGAAGCGCTCATATGTGAAAACTTACTTGACATGACTGTCCTCGTGTGGACGTATTTTTTTACTGCAAGTTGTATTTAGATAATGAGCAAATATAATAATGACATTAACATACACAGCCATTTTTTTTTAACATTGACATTAATGTTAGGGCAACGTATAAATAACTTGTAAAAACATTTAACTGAAGCATCATCAAAACCAAGTAACAGCTAATGCCTAAAATGTTTCCTGTGCCTTTGCTTTGGCATCAAATTGTGTCCGCAAAGCCAAATACATATGTGTACAGTAAGTGTGTGTGTACACATATAATAATAATAATAATAATAGATGTATTTTGTTAGCGCTTTTACAGGTGCTCAAAGACGCTTTACAGATATAGTGAAAAGAAAATAATCTCTATCTCAATCATATCTCTCTAAGAGGACTCAGGCCGGTAGCCTTTCAGGTAAAAGATCCAAGAACAAGGTTTCCTGTGGGCCTCAGAGCGCTGGCTGGAGACGGTCAGATTGCCGAACCATGGTCCCGGAAAGCCTGCTGCAGGGGACTGAAAAGACACCACGATGTTTTGGGTCTTTTTGGAGGGGACGGTGTCTATGTCTTTGACAGTAAAACAGGGGTTGTCCACCTAGGAACATGGGAAATAAGGCTCCATTAATAACACTTTTTTAATTAATTTTAGACTTAATTAGAGACATCTCCCTTTAAATTGTGTTTACATTTTTATTATTCGTCTCATTATTGTTCTTTTTGTATTTATTTATGTTGTCTTATGTCTTTCTTACTTTTACTAAGCTGGTTGTGTGATCTGTTGTTAACTTTTTTATTGTTTTGTATTATCATGCCTAATTTGCCTCCTTGTTTTTATCCTTTGATAATACTATATATCCTGTACATATGCTGCATTTGTACATGTTGTTGTGTGTCGTATTGTTATAGCACTTTGAGCTGCATCCTGTATATGAAAAGTGCTAAACAAATGAAGCTTGCCCGACAGAGACACCCTCTTAACTGTAACTGTTCCAGGCTACATTTAAAGTATTTGCTTCATGCTGTGTAGCATTGCACCCAGAACTGGAAATAATTTTCATTGATGTCAACAAATGATTTGGCTTACTGAAGGTGATGGAATGTAACAAACTACTTATACTGAAGTAATGTCCATAAGTACGCCATTTTTTTTTAACTTGACTTAAGTATTTTTCCCTTTTATGCTTCTTTATAACTTTTACTGCCACTACATTTATCTGACAGCTTTATTTGAGTAAGAATCTAAGTAAATCTAAGTAATCTAAGTAGATTGATTCAGGAGTTCACCCATATACCTAACTTTCATTCCCATCAGCCATTTAGCAATAGTAAATTAACATAGTGAGCAAGGTTATTATTATACATCACATTACATTACATGTCACTTGTTAGACGCATTTATCCAAAGCGACTTACATACTCAATACTGTGGGCAATCCCCACAGGAGCAATTTGGGGGGAAGTGTCTCAGGGACACAACGACATGCTGACTGCAGTGGGGTTTGCTCCCCTGATCCGAACACCAACGCACTAGTCCACTGCGCCACACTCCTCTTTCACCACTGCTCTCGCACAATACAGGATATTGGAATGCCATGAATGCAATTATTTTCTCATATTTCTTAAATATATAAATATATATATATATATTTTCTTTTTCTTTTGTTGGAAATTTTTACTTTACATTCTTATGTGCATAAATAACAGTTTTTATCTTGGTTATGCACATTCTTATATTTTTATTTGATTGGAACTTCTCTCATGAAACCCAATTTCACCCGGGATAAATGAAGTATTTCTGTTTCTGAAGCACTTTCATTGTCAGTGACACCAATTCCCTGGCCCTGAGCTCATCCCTTCTTTACCTGAAAAGAGAAATCGCTGGTGTGCAGGAACACATTCTTGAAGGGGATGGTAACGCTGCGACCGGCCCTGATGCTGAAGGGACCCTGGGCTTTGGGAGGGAGACTGATCCCGTGCAGCGGAAAGATGTATTCCCCCCCGATTCCTGAGGACAGGGTGAGCTGGCCGGTCACTTGCCCCAGCTGATGAGGTTCAAAACAAACCTCCACGCCTGACTCGGACCCCACCTGGGGTCTCACCTTGTCCACTGTGAAGTCCGGGCAATCGGCCTGCAGGAGATAACAAGAAAGGGATCATATGACAGCAAATTAATCAATGATGATTTCTTAATTACACGTTCTTTTTATAAATCTATGCTCAACCATGTTTTTACAATGCCAATTCATTCATTTGTATATATTGTTCTCCCAATGTACCTTCTTGCATTTCATGTTCATTTAATTTAAAAACTGCAATTACTTTGCATACTCGTATATTGTAAAAAGTATCCTATGTTCACATTTTGTTAGTAGGAGGTTGGTCTGTTAAAGTGCATACTCACTTATTATGTACATGTATTTGTGTATACATGTATGTGTATATAGGTATCCAATAGAGATGCTCTAAAGACATATATATTTTACTCTTTATATGTATATATTTAGGTCTATTTTATTTATCTTTAAAAAGTTGTGCCAATCTTGCTCCAACTCAACTTTGCATCAGGCAAACTCAGATTTCAGCTAATCACTGTTAAAATGAATGAATTCAACAAGTTATAAAACTGTGGTCAGAGCATGAGTAGTAGTTCTCTTGAAGTGTATGTAAACAATTGGTGAAGTGATCACTTTGAAAGACACTATCCAGGGTCCATTTCTATTAAGAGCAAAACAAGAAAAAAATGGCGAGAACAGACAGAACATCATAAGAACATAATGTGCACCTACTGTACTTCTCCAAGTCATAAGGACAAGCTGGATATTTTCTCACCTTGCATGAGTACTCGGGTTTGAAGCGTGAGTAGTTAATGAACTTCACAAGAACGGCCTGGCTGCTGCCCAGACAGGTGCTGAAGTGGACGGTTTTCTCTGGAGGTGGAGGCAGAGCTCTGAGCAGCAGGTCGTAGTGGAAGGAACCCAGATCGCTGCTGTGGAGAGTGAGGCGCGCTGTAGACTCGCCTACACGCAGGGGCAGATACTCAAAGCTCACAGAGCCCTGTAGAGAGCACACACGGAGAGTATCATAAGAACAACTGCTTATAGGTTAACAAGAGGTGCCGCAAGAGGGGATTGCATCGTCCCTCACAAAAATGTATTTAAGTCAATCAGCAGTCTCTGCTAAAGCTGCACTAAATTGGAAGTCCATCCCAACTGCCATTATAGAAAAAGCTACATACAGTTTGATTTGAACTAATTTAAAGATATGGTTAATTAGCACTATACTGTCTTCTGTCTCTACTGCTGTAACTTGTTGCTATCTTGTTGCTGTGTAGCAATGTATGATTTTTGTTTTTATTAGCATGTCCCGTATTCGGGGCCTCTGTGTTGCATGTTTTTCATATTTTTAATGTTTTAAAATACAAATGAGTTTTTAGGGTGACTTTGAAAAGTCGGTCTAGGGTCTACAGATGAAAAAAAGCTTCTTGGCTAAGTCTGGCGTATTCACATCAATGTTTATTGATGTGCACTGTGCCTGTAATATAAGCTAATAAATACAAAATAAATTAAGCATCAATTAAGGTTTTGTTTTAGCACAAAGCTGCCTTTTCAGCACTGAAATAGTTCAGAATCAAATAGATTTTTTTAAATCTAATTTTGTTTCTCTTTATCACAGCAGAATGTTAACAGATTCGCTACAAATCTAATATAATGTAATACAAATGTAATTAAAAAAACAATTTAATTAATTAATATAAATTCATTAAACAAAACGTTAATATATACAAACAATGGTAAAAAAAAAAACACAATAGATTTGAATACTCCAATATAATGGACCAATCTATGGACTAAGCAACAACAAAAACATATGAATATAGGATACTATATACATTACAAAAAGTGTGCGAAGTAGCTTTTCATTTACATTTTCATTTAAATCCAGTGAGGTAGTGTGAGGAAGGTAGATGCAGTCAGTACCCACCTTGGACTGTCCTGGCACAGTGTGCTGAGCCGGGGCACTGATGTCAGGGCATTTACACTCCGTAGTGAGGCAGGTGACTGTGGTCAGAGGATTCTCCACCTGCACAGTGGCTGAGGCCGTCTGACGCACAGTGGTCACCAGCTCCATGGTGGACAGGACTCCTGGAGGTGTGGCCTTAAAGGTCACGAGATAGAACAAGTACTCACCGGACACCTCATCATGAAACGTCACCTGATAAGAGATGCAAAAGGGTGATGTGAGGACAAGGCTCAACATTTGTTCTGATCTGGTGATCGAAATGTGCGTGTGGACAAACCTTGGTGTTGTACTGCCCCTCTTTGTATGTAAAGAAAGACAACGGGTAGTCCCGAGTGGCCAGAGCAGGGACGACAATGTCTTTTTGACCCTTGAGGGACACTGTAGCATCTGGCTTGTCAGGTTTCAGGGTCTCTATCAGCACACGGAACCTGAAGCCAGGGAACATTACTAGGGGTGCACCGAATGGGAAATTCTTGGCCGAAACCGATACCGAAAATAGGAAACAGTTGGCCGAAAACCGAATGCCGAAAGGCCGAAAATGATTAATAGAAATATATATATATATAATGTATACATTTTTTACCAATGTTGTTCAGCTGCCTGATTATGGAAAAATAAATGATTATGGCAAAACTTAACTTAAATAATAATCACTATTATGGGTCCATAAAACATTTATTCAGCACTTTTGAATGCATACAGTACATTAATTCCAAGTCAAGTGCATTTTTTTTTCTCTGTAGGATAACTACAACAAAGTGCATTCAGAACAAAGCCAAGGTGCTTTAAAACTGCATAAACATCTAGGCCAGTAGGCCTACAACAAAACAGTGTAAATAAAGACTGTAACAGCCAGGCCTTCAACAACAACAAATGCACCTATAAGTGCATTCATACAAATGTGCAAACTGGATAAATCCACATGAATGTAACTATTTACAAATGAAATTACAATAGAATTTCAAGAATCTGTAAATAAGGCTGTCTGTCCTCATAAGCAAAGTAGTAAACATTGTATAAAGATACATAAAGTGAAAACTGGATACAAAATCCACAATCAAGCGTCTTTGAGCACCTGTAAAAGCGCTAACAAATTAAATCTATTATTATTATTATTATTATTATTAATCAATTACAAATTAAA